AGGAGGTTACTACCCCTGGTCCTACCAGCGACAAAGACAAAGGCCAGGCGGCAGATGTGGACGTCACCACATCGGCGGAGAGTGTGGGCGCAGCGGTGCTGTTGAATGCCACAACCCCGTCGCCAACAAGCGCCACCACACAAGCTGGGAAGACTGAGCGTAGCCAGGAAATGCTAAAACTCTAGACCGGCGCAGAAGATGTCCAAGACATCATCAAGGTTACCAAGGTTTCACCGATTGAAGAGGCGAGGAGTCATCGCTCTGTACCAGTAGGTGAAAAAGAAGAACGAGTGTCTGCAATCCACACTCCCACTACTTTCGGTGGTGTCTCTGATCGACGACGTGTCTTTGTTAGGCGACCCTGGTCATTATGATCATCATGGTTGTCGGTGGCTCCTGTTGCAAGACGGCGAGTCGTGCTTGTTTGATTACAGGGGTTTTGGGAACTTTCCAAAGACATGCCATGATTGGAGCATTCGCGGTTCCCATCACAAGCTTTTTTGAATCCTTGCATTTGGTACCGTGGTTGAGGCTACTACGTAACCGAAAGCTACAACCTAAAGCCCACATCCCCAAGTGTCCCTCAAACCTTCCACCTTCGAGGCCCTGAACCTTGTTTTCCGCCTCCGATTCTTCGAGGTACCATCGGACGAAACAAGAACCTCATCCCGCGGGAGGCCACGCGAAGAGGTTTAGGGAAAAGTTTAGGGTTTAGGCCTCGTCTTTCCAGGTTTAGGGAAGTTTAGGGTTGAGAGTTGTTGGATTCAGAGGGTCGTTTCTCTACCGAGTTGCTGCATAGCCAAAAGACTATCACGATGCAGGGAGCTGTCACGAAGACAGCTTCTGTTCGACTTCCATGATACACTTGACATGCATCGCGCTACGGCCCTCGGTTTGCACTGAGGGGTGGGGCAACCAAGATTCTGACGACGGCTGTTTTGTATTTCGCTAGCTAGCACCGGCACGAGCCTAAGCCTAAGCCTAATCGGGGGTTCAGAAATTTTCTGGACCCGAATGTGGACTTGAAATCGTAAGCTCGTTTGGATCTGGTCCTGTTGACGAGGAGGTTTCAATGGTCTGAGACTGAAGATTTAGGAAACCCTCCGTGTCGGCGTGGTGGCTCAAGGCTATGAGGCTCGGTTGAAGGCAATAGGATCTGCAAGGCAAGAACCTGTAGACTCTACATCACTTATGGCAAGTTTCCCAGACTTCACAAGTCGATGGAGCCCGCCTCGTCAAAGCGTAGACTCTCAGAAGAGCACAGGTGGTTGCCGCTGTCATCGGCGGCACAGCTGCCCTTGTGGACGAACTGAACAGACATGGGGCAGGGGATCTCAGACAAGGTGCTGACATGTCGGGCTTAGCAGCAGAAGCAGAATGGGTTGGAAGATGAGAGGCAAAAAAAGTCCGGGAAGTACTCTTGGATCTGGTTCCTAGTCGAGATTTGGGGTTCGGGGGATGTGGACACAGCTTGGCTTTAGTATTGCCTCGCGAGGCCACTCTAGTGCCATACTCTTCTGTACTGGTTTAGGGCGAAGGGGTAGGTCATGATATTCGAGTATCTGTGTTGGACTCAATGCTTCCAAGATGTGTTCGTGATTGTTCGTCAGCCCTGCACGCAGAATTTCTTATTCCATCTTCATGTCACAGTATTGCCATGTGATTGAACCACGTTTCGATTGAACCATGTTTCGTCATCAGCACGTCATTCCATCATGATTGGCTGTGTGCAAGTTAAGACCGCCTGCTGCAGGTCCTCCCAAGAAGCCACAGGCGTCCCTAAAATAGTTCTGCCACGATGTCTATTCTGACGGGCCACCAGATCATGTCATGTGACTACGTCCATTTTCCGCGGCGTCCTGCTTCTCATCAGCACATCTGGGCGGGCAGCATTGGCATTCTCTAGTCCGCTCGATACTCCGAGCATCCCCTTTAGGAATCATAAATAAAGATATGGGAGTTTCCAAAAATTAGGGTACCTTATTTTGGGGTCCTTATAATAAGGGTCCTACTATTTTAGGGTACTATATTAGGGTCCCCTATTTCCGGAAACTCCCATATGTTTTACCCAAAGGGTTGGGGCCCGAAATCCGAAGACCCCGACGTGCAAGCCCAAGCTCCCACGCTTCCCATCCTCAATCCGCAACTTTGGGGGGCAGAATCCTAAACTCCTCAGCCCTAAACTCCCTAAGCCCCAACTCCTGAACTCCGAAAAGAGTCGACCCCAACTGCTAAAAAAATCCTGAACCCCAGCCCCTCACGCCTTTGACCCTGTTTGTTCCAGGTCGGCATCATCCTCACGGGTGGGGAGACGGCCGATGTTGGCGATCTTGTAGCCTGGCAGGGGCTTTTTTTCTGGCTTCGAGGGCTTTTTTTCTGGGGTTTCCGTAGAGGGTGTCGAGACCCAAGGGTTTAGGGGATGTTTAATTTTTCAGGGGTTGATGCAAGGTGTCAGTAAGGGTTCAGGGGTTTAGGGTTTTCCGGACCCCTCAGCCCGCAATCCCAAAGTCACTCGAAATTTTGACACCCAGGTCGGCAATTCCAAATTCCAGGACCATCCATCAAGCGAACCTGAACCCTGAACCCTAAACCCGAAACCCTTTTTTACACAGGCTTGATTGAGCCGAAACCCTAAATCCTAAACCGGGCGATGGCTCAGGTTAGGACCATCATCGTGGACTCCACGGTGGCTGCTCAGGCGGGACTGGCAGCTGACCCTCTACGAGAGCCAGAGAGGGTTTTTTTTACCTGTAGGACAGTTTAGGGTTTGGGGGTTTGGGGTTTAGGATTTTGGTGGTTTTAGGGTTGTTGGGGTTTAGGGGTTTGGGGTTTGGGATTTTTGTGGGTTTTAGGGTGCATAGGTTTATAAGCTTTATACTTATTTATTTCGTTTGCCAGAGAGATGCTCTGCAGGTGAATATCTTGACCCTACCTAGAAGCCATAACTTAACATCCTACATCCTCACCGCTTTCCATGTGGGCGATTGTCACGGTCAATGTTCGTTCTTCGCTGCCGCATAGCTGTCTGCGGCCACAAGCCACCAGAATGAGCAACACTCTTGTTCGTCAGCGTTGTCAGCTGTGTGCTCAACATCACCAACACCCCCGGAAAGCATGATGCACAGCTGTGGTAGCTTCAGAGCTATTGCCCCTTGGAATTTGCGGCCGCGGCTCCTTAAAGGCTTGCTATCTTGCTATGGCCATACTTTAAAACATGCCCCGAACATGCCTATGCTTCTGTCTGTTAAGGTAGAATGTACACCCAACACCTCCTGCCATTCATGAAGGCACCGGTATTCGGCTCACGAGCCTCGGCCCTGCAAGGTTCCCCGGAGCGAGGTCATCGACAACGCCAACATTCGCGCGGAGCTCAGCGTGCCCGGGAGCGCTGCATTTGGCGAGGAAACTAAGAAAAGAAGCGGAGAAGTCTGCCGAGAGTTGTTTCGACCAGCGAAAAAGCAAGTAAGCAAGGGCATAGATAAAGACATGCATATCAATAAACAAGCAAATCCTGCATCATGTATGTAATACATATATACACATACACATACACATACACATACACATACACATACACATACACGTACACATACACATACACATACCTCTATGCATGCATACATCATGCGTGTATATCGGTCTAGGTTTATACCAAAAACGTGTACCGACTTATGAATGAATGCATGTATCTGCACATGTAGCTATGTATTCTCATGGGACAGCCGGAGTTCGGAAATTGCCTTTGCAGCATCGTGATGCTGTCGCGGTACTTGTATGAAGATTCATACGAACATGTGGCATCTAGTAGATGTCACGCGGAGTTTTGTGGACACGTCCTTGGACCCGGAAAACTGCACGCCTTCACAAGTAAGGTTCTGCAGCAGGCAGATTTCACCGGCTTCCTCGGCACGGAAAACCGCCGTGGGCACCAACACTGCAACAGCAGGCAAACAACCTTTAAGCCCGAAAGCTTCATGTATCTTGAGCACTGTATTTGACTTCATTATTTCTAAGCTTATCCATGGTTGCCGTTTATCCCTTTCAGACTGGCTCTTGTAGAACCCCAACATCACTACCAAGCCCTTATAAGACCCTTACAGGACCTCTGAAGCCCTTGTTCAAAAAGGTGCTGGTGACGTGATCGTCGCGTTGTCCTCTTCGGGACGTGCGATGCCCAGAGCCACAACCAGAGTCTGGTTGGGAATAATAGAAAGCATCGGTATACGGGCTTAGTTCTGGGTTTAGCTTAGCGTTACGGGTGGAGGAGTAGAGGTGTTAGGATAAACTGTTAAACCCGGGGGTTCAGGTTTGCATCAACGGGTATCGGGTTTAGGAGTTTGGGATCAAGGGCTTAGGGGTCAAGGTCTAAGCTACACAGCGTTTTGCAGGAAACGTTCTTAGGTTTTCGATGGTTTTTCGGTGTGCTTGGCGGCAATCGTAGCACATAGCCCAAGTCCCAAGTATCGGCGGGCTGTGACCAGCTCTTCCGTCTCGCAGTCGTGTATAGATCATAGCTCCTGTAGCTTACTGAGTCCCTGCCTGCATGTTTGTTCAGTTGCGGTTTGAGGGTCACAAGCACTTCAAGCCTGTCTGTCAATCTGTGTGCATGTATCGGTCCTTGCTTATGCCAAGCATGGCTGGAATTCTTGGCGGATGTGTTTGCGGCGCAACATTTCTGTAGATATCAACGTCCAAGGTTCCGGTGATGAGATTTTGGCCGGGTGTCTCTTTGCTTGAAGCCCCGTCGCCATGCTCTTTCGGAGCCGTTTAGTTGTGGGAGAGGGCTTGCTAGTTGCTTGTGCCGACGAGAGATGAGAGCCTTCGGGAACTCTTTATCCAGGTCCACTGCGAAAAGATCTCACAGTGCAGCCTGCTGCTGTGAATGTGGCGAGCACAACACGGCATCTTCATGGCGTGATGAAGACAGCACCGAAGAAGGATACTCTGTTCAGGTGCGTTTTACACTTTACAGCTTTGCTGATATCCTTTTGATTTGCCAGGCCGGCAGCCTGGAAGCGGAGGAGCGCCATGCGCGAATCCCCAGACACACAGGGCTTACTTGCACTCTCTGTTTCCAAAGCACACTCCACTTCCAGAGGCCGCGGCAAGCCTGCTTGATGAGGCCCTGATTGCCAACGAACTCGACAGCCACGATGTCGACTTCTGCGAGGAAGAGCTTGATGAGGTTCTCGAGGGGGTCAGAGATTGACCAGACCAGCAATACACGTCGGGCCTCTGAGGGGATGTTCTGAACTCTCTTGGGGGCTTCTATGCATCGGCCAGTCAAGGAACCATGCCATACCATTCTGAACCCTCGCAGCAAGACAGGGAGCACGACTTGTGGTTGTTGTCATCGTCACCGGGATCGCAGCAATAGCATTAATCGCAGCAATCGCCGCAACACTGTTACCAACAGTGAGAAAGCATGCAGAAGAAGTGTTCGACATCATACACGGTCTTCGTCAATCTTCAAGTGGACATTTGTTATCACTATTTGACCGTCGGTACCATCACCAATTCTGGACGAAGAGCAAGGAGTGCAGAACGAGCGTCCCAAAGCCAGGTCCGTGTCCGATCCTTCGTTCAGAAGCTACACAAGCCGCTCAGCCTCAGGTTGACCAGATCGTGAAGGCGGCCCAGCGAGACTTCGAGTCGGAGGCTGCTTCCAGGCCCCCAACACCAGGGAGCGCACGCCTCCTCTCATCTCTCCAGAACTAGGAAGGGTCCGACGTGGGGCCGCGGGGCAGGATGGATCTGCGACAGAAGCGGATCTTCACCATCGACCCGGCCACGGCGAAGGATGTGCGATGAATTGTCTCATGCCTCTTTACTCACGGGCCTTTACGAGAAATTCGAGTTTCGGCTTTGTCTGAGCGTCAGACATGTTTCCACAAGATGTCACAAGTCTCTTCCGGTGTCATTCCCTATCGATGTGAGCTTGCGCATGGATCGGCTCAGTTTTCCAGGACCTGGATGATGCCATTCACGTGGAGGACTTGAAGGGCAAGGGCCAGATCGAGGCGAGGCTACAGCCGAAAACAAAAAGGGCCTCAGGAATCAGGATCGGTACTTCTGATATCTTCTGATCACTGGCGCGGCTGGGGAGGTGGGAGTGCACATCGCCGACGTGGCTCACTTCCTGAAGCCGCTCGGCAGCAGGTTTTGGAGCAACAGAGGCTGTAGGCGTCTGCCGGGCAGTTTCTCTCTGAGGTATAACTTGTAGCTTTTAGCTTAGCATGCTGTGAACAGCGTTGTGAGCTTATGTAGCCTCCGGAATGCACATCCGATCACTGTCACCGGCAGCCGGCAGAACACTTTCCGTACATATTGCCGCTCGAAGCAGGACTCTACCCTTTCATGTCTCCTATCACTTTGCCATTGGATTGGCACCTCATGTCGGACCAGGCTCGGCACGATTACGGATGAGGAGGCCCGACGTGCCCAAGCTGCGATTTCAGGCTGCCGTGCGACGTTGGAGGATGCTGACAGGTCCAGGATACATAGTTACATTGTTTTTTTCGGAGGTTTACTGTGTGGGCGTTGCTTCTCCGATCGAAGCTCGACACAGCGCGCATTGAATGTTGCAGAGCTGCTCGGCAAAAGTTTCTAACGCCCTGGCTGCCGAGGTCGTACCACCTCTGTCTACCTCATCGGGCGGGCCGACAACTCGGAATTCCAAGGGAGCTTCTCTTACCTGATGCGATGAAACTTGCCTGAGAACCGAGGTGTTGCCAATGCTGCCGCATGGCCTCTGCAACTATCTCTGCTCCCTGAATCCGAACCTTGCATGCAGACATGAGGCTTATGAAGTATTGCCGGACTCTCACGTCACTCGGGACCTTGTGGCGCTGATTCCAGTACATGAGGAACGAGCCAAAGTTGGCCTTCTCGGCCTTCTTCCGCTTCGGCCTCAGATGTTTTTGTCTACCGCTTCTGCTTTCTCAGCCTCAGGGCTCCCGGCTGAGGCCTCTGCAAGAGAACGGGCCAGCTGATCGAGAACCCTGCGTGGGCATGCCTTGTTTATCCAAGCTACAGGCACAAGCCAAGCAGATAAGCAAGACAGTGAATACCGCATGGAAAAAGCCCACAACCTAAGATGTGTTCACGCCACACCGCCATCTTTTCCCTCTAACTTCCCGGCGTTGGCTTTTGCCAGGCCCCGGTTTGCAAAGACGGCCATCTCTTCCGTGTGTCGTCTGAACTACGAGCAGGCGCGGGCCTATGTGTGCACTCTATACTATACTAAAGTGTATGTATACGTATGCAATCGTACGCACGTAGATGCACAAGCAGCTCTTTCCGGACAGTTCTGTCTTGAAGTTGCAACACTCGACCTGTCAGGCTCAGGACATCATCGACGATCTTGACATTGAGGAGGCAGACCGGCCGCTGGCAACTTCATTGCATGGAGATTGCAAAGTAGCTCCCTGCTTCGAGTCGCCCAAAGGATTGAGGTGGACAAATGCGACAATAATCCATTTTGGGGCGAGCCAAGGTGCACGGTGGCTACACGTGGCCCGGTGCCCAGGAGATCCCAGCCCAGCAGCTCACCGAACTTAGAATCATCTCAGGCAGCAGATCAAGGACGACATCCTGCTGCTCTACGAAGTCTGCGGCAAGGCCAACAAAGATAGTTCTCAAGCGCTTTCCCAACTGCTGCCCCACCTGTCTTGCACAAAGGTGCGGCATGGCCGCCTGACAGGCGGAGCCATGACAATCAGCAAGACGAAGCTCGGCTCGGCTTCTCTCTTTTTATTGATACGGGAGAGGCAGTCGTGCGCTCAGGAAGATGGTCTTCCACACCAGGGACAGCGAGGACTCATCGCACGAAAGCGCAAAGATGCGGATTGTGGCAACTGTCAAGCTGCAGGATGGGATTCCCACAGGCTACCACTTGGAGTCTCACAGTGCTTCTCACTGGGTCATCGAGGACCGGCACGGATCCCCGACCCCGTTGCCTGTGACCCTCCCCGACCAGATGTGAAACAACAGTGTTGAATATGCTAGCCAATCCAGCCACTAAATCTACCATTTCATGCATGTCTTCTTCTTGTGTCGCAGCACAGCGGCAGGAGCTGATGCTTCTGGCCAACAGGTGCGTCGCCAAGCGCCTGGTGCGATGCCCAGGAGCCCAAGGTGCCCAGGATGTGTCGGGAGGGGAGCTTCATGGATCGAAGCTTCCCCGAGTCCAAATCTCCTAAGAGCTACTGAAGGGAGGACGCTCCGCCCTCTCCTCGCGAACTGAGGCCATGTCGGAGCTCTCCGAGGTCGCGGTGCTGCGGAACCACAAGCCACCGGATATGAAGAAGGTCGGGGAGAGAAACGGGGTAGAAGGGGGCCGCCCAGAAGGCTCAGAAAGCGGCGATGGTTTTCACGCATAGAGTCCAGCAGCGACTTTAAAACAGAACCTTCCCGGCCGGCGGCCTGCATGTGTATTCTTGGGTTTGAGCATGAATGCCCTTTGGGATACTGTGCCATCGCGAGTTCTATTGCAAGAATCTCCTGCGGAAATTGTATCGAACGAAAGCTGCCGATGTGACCGTGGAGTAGAAGATTTCTACAGACCCGCAGGCCCGAGACGTGCTGCTGAAGAAACCGCCTAAACTCCAGCTGATTGTTTGCACTGCACCACTGTCGGCAGGCGGAAACGCTCCAAAAGCTCATGCGAGAGCGACTTGGGATCAAGGCAGGGATTCGCTTGGTAGTGACAGGATTTACCAGGATGGTACGATTATCATTCGTCATCGTCTTCCTCATCATACCTTGAAGCATGCAGCTCTAGAGGCACAAGAGCAATACAAGACACACGATCCTCCTTGACGAATTGTGTCCGCGGGGAAGGACTTCAGCATGTCTTCGGCCTTCGCCATCTACAAGTCGTGCCAGGACATTCCGCCATTCCAAGCCGCACGTTGGGGACCGGGGCAGCATGGAACATCTAGGTTCTATAGATAAGTGGGCCAGGTGATGGAAACTGGGGCTCAAGCCATGCTCAAGCACGCTTCGACATGTAAGTGGCATCGAATGCATCGATTTGGGAGCAGTTGAAGCCAGCCATAAAGCCAAAGTCAGAGCGTCAAACTAGTGAGCTTGGGCGGAACATAACAGTTGTGGAGTCAGTGGTATATCAAAGCATCGGCCTCCACAGTCGCTGTGCTACCAACCCAGATCATGACAGGCTGGATGCTCAAAGTTGTTAGCCAATCGGCTCCGCTGCTATGCTTGCTGCTGGCAACATTCATCCTGATCCTTTCCGGTGGGTCGAATCTTTCGGCGCCCGCAAACGGACCTTTGCGAGAGGAATGCCATGCGATTGGCCAGTACCAAATGCTGGCCACTGTTGAGGTGGACCGGTTTGCCTTATGTTTCCCGATCTTTGACATGCTCTTGGCGGCCTTTCCGTTCGCCTTCAACGTTGATTTCGATCCGGGGCATTGCTTCGGTCTGTGTTGGTGTGACTTTTGGCGCAGCTGCCTTGTGGATGCGCAAAGCTCGCACCATAGACATGTCTCACCTGGTCAAGGAGATGGAATCAATTGGTGCCAGCGGCATTCTTGCTACCGTGCCGCTGTCGGCGATTTGTTTTCTCGTGGCTTTCGCTGTTGTAGCTTGTCTCAATCCGTGGCATGGCCGGCGCCAGGTTGGCAAACTGGGCCACGCTACATGTTGAGCACTTTCAGCTGGAGACAGCATCGATCTCAAGCTGGCGCCACCCCTCCAAAACAAGAACGTCCGATCATCAACAAACTTTCCATGGGAAAAGCCGTCGGGGAGGGTGCCACATCCGATAGGCATTGAAAAAGCGAAGTCCCGAACAAATTGGCCGTTGGCCGCGGAGTACACTGTCTTGAAGAAGCTGCATCAACCGAAGATCATCAACGAGTACTTGGAGCTTTTTTTGTTGCCCATGTGCGGGGCGGACTTGCTGTCGTACATCCAAAGCGGGCTGATCTCGTGTTCAGGTTTGCGGCTTTTAGCTGCTGGCATGCTGTCAGCCTTGTCATACATGCGATCTCAGGCATTGTGCCATTTGGACGTGAAGCCCAGTAACATCCTCCGCTTCCAGATGACCAATGTCGTGCAGCGAACATGATCCTCGCATGTGTAACACACCAGGCACTGTTTTTACTGGCCACCCGATGCTTATGATAGCCGAGGGTGTGACGGGCACAAAGCTGACATGTGTGCGTTGGGTGTGACAATTTCCATCAATTTCCGAAGCCAGTTCCAGATCTACGCCCAGTGAGCTTGCGAGGGTGGCCTTTGTGTTTGAAAAAATGGATGTGCCGCGAGATGACCCTGGCCCGCCGCCGCAGTCACGTTAAAGTGCTTGAGGTTGGCCTTGCCGCCGACAGCAGTCTGACTTCCAGTTTCCAGCATACAGGAGAAAATCAAGTTGGAGGCAGGGAGGTAATTGATTTGTAGTGCACGCCTTGCATCCTTATTGCGACGAGTTCAGCCGGAGTGTGATTTCATGAGTCTTAGGTGTGTTAGGCTATTGTATCTTTGTCTGTATGGGGGCCCGAGCTCTGGCTGACACGAGAGGCGGAATGCGACGACGATCCCAGTGGGCCTGTAAACTGGTTTATGGTTTTGGGTGCATTATGGATAGTGCATTGTGTGACGTAACACCAGCAGCCCCTGCATCTAATCGCTTCCTAAACTAAGCCTTAAGCAGGGCCTTTTTTTGCATCAGGTTGCGTTGAGATTTGTGGTTTGCTCAAGCTTAGGGAGGTCGGTACATGATAAAGCGTCCAAGCTTCATTTAACTCAGTAAGATGCGCTCGCACAAGTCGCAAGACACAGTTTGACATGTTCGTTCCGCCCGAAAGAAGTTCTCGCACTTGAAGTTCTTGGCTTGAACAGTCCAAGTGTGCAACGCAGGACATCTACCGGAAGCATGGCAAGATGCTGGGGCTGTGTGTGGAGATGTGGTTGCGACATGATTCAAACATATTCAAACTTTAGGATGCGGTGAGGGCTCAGGCTGAGCTCGTCAGATTGCATTGGTGACATTAGATGCAGACCTCGTATTCGCGCGCTGCCAGGATGATCATGCGTGCCGGGATGAAGCAGGCGCAGAGCGGGTACTGCTTTCCTCAACCTGAAGAATTTGTGGGGTATTGGTGTATGTGTTCTGGCAGGCAGAATACTTCCTGTATGGTGTCGTCGAGGAAGAGGAGGAGGCAGCAGCCCACACATCCTGATCAGGTCTGCCAAAATTTATGATGCTTTCTCGGTCACATCATAATTCATATTTAGAAGAATCAGGGATGTTACTCGGTGGCCTTGCATGCGAGTTCCAGCCCGCAGCTCTCGGACCTTGTGCACTGGACGGCCTTTGGCCCATAACTTTGAGTGAACCAAGAGAAGTGCCACGTAGGGTTGAGAAGATGTTTTCTGACCGATACGATAATGATACGGCTCAGCAGCTCACCAGGAGCATTGCCCACATCACTTTGCGCTGAATTTTGATGCTCGACTGCAGATCTGGAGACTTGCTCCCGTCTCATTGCTTGTTGGTCTTGACAGTCAGCATTCGCGCAAGGACTACTACACGCATTTCACTTCGCCCATTCGGCGATATCCGGCATCTCGGCTGATTGCGGCTGACTTTTGCTCCCTGACGGAGCCTTAGAACTGGATCTTGGCCTCCCACAGCTATTCGACAGGACGTGATGGTGCACAGAGTGCTGTGTGCACTCTTGGATCGTCAGATGGAGGCTCGAGGTGGCGTCGCACAACCGGGGGGGGGGGGGGTGTTGTGTGGATTGTGGAGAGAGCACATCATGCTTCGCCTGCCTGCCAATCGATGGATGCCGGCAGACGTCAAAGACAGCAGGGTAATTAGGACAGATCTATGTGCAAGGCACACTGAGTGTGTTGCATGGAATCGGGGATTGCCATGAAAGCGCAATGCCGTGTGTGTTGGTACGCAAAACACCGGTGCAGTTGTGGGGAAGTTTTGCTTTTTGGGAATGTCGGCGAGTAACGGAGTCATGCTGCAAGCATATGTAGCCAGGACCAGCAGAAGAAGGCGAAGAAGAGGCAAGGGAGCGTTGCGTCGGACCCTTCCCGACGTGGCTGCTGCTCTTGAGTCTCGCATGCTGCTACCCGCCCAAGAGCCGACATGGCTGACCTGCTAGCGATCTGCAGGGGCCTGCCTTCTTTCAGACTCGCGACGAAGCCAAGGAGCAGGTCGGGTTCCAGGTTTCTGAAGGCTTTCTGATGGCGATCTGACTCGGTAGGGATGAACTTGAGCGGATGATACTGGAAGCCATTCTATCCCAAGTTTGCTCCCTTTCAAGTTTGCTCGCTGCCTGACCAACACAGCGCCCGATGTCGCCTTTGGCAAACATCGTGCTTGCCTATTCGTTGATGTGCGTGGGAGCAGTTCGCCCGGCTGCTCAAAATCCTCACGACTACGTGCAGGCAGGGGCCAGGCTCTGTGGAGCAAGCCTTCCCTGAAGCCCTTTACCTTAAAGGCTACGTCCAAAGTCCAGGCCTCTAAGTTCTGCATGTCAAAGATGCGCAGCTCTGCTGGTGCGTGCTAACAAGTTTGCTTGTCAAGGTGGACAACAAATGGTGCTGTCGCCTACACAAGCACGTGCCTCCCCAAGCAAGGTTGCTTGGCCATTGCCTCAGCGCACAAAATCAGGACACCGCGCTTTGGCCAAGACCAAGAGGTCACAAAAGCCGGTTCCGAAAGTGGACGTGAGCCATGGGTGTACTGCGGGAGCTACGACAGTGCTCCGTTTCTCTACTCGACGGGGATGGCCGACGAATGTGGACACAGTCGTGCCCTTTGCCGCATCCGACAACTTGCTGCGAGAAGGGGGGGAGAGTTCTGCTGGACCATGCCAGAGAAGGACGGTTTGTCAAGCCGGTGTGGAGAGCTTGCAGTGAAGGTGATAGCTGCTCCACCGTTGAAATCGCGCCTGGCCCTTGCAGGTGTGTCCTGCACAGCACCAAGACGTCGATCATGGGCACTGCTTCACAGCGAAAGGTGAAACAAAGACGAACAAGGCAACTCACCTCACAATTCCGAAGTGTAAGTGAAGTGTAAGTGATGATCGCAAGCTCTGGGCACAAGCACCGGAGATCCGGCTGAGAAAAAAGCGAGTGATTGCAGGGTTGCGGTTGCTCCAGATATGCAGGTTTCGGACGTGAGCCAAAAAGGTGTTCACACGGCCTTTGCAGTGTGTTGAAGCGTAGGCAATCCTTGGTGCTATCACTTCGCTGCTACGATGATCATCGTATTTCGCTCTATCTGCAGCATCGTGGACCCAGGTACATTGGGCACCGACCCTAAATCCCATATTTACCCAGCCCGCAGATTGCCAAGCCCGTGCCACTTGGACCACCTGGTCGGTGTGCCGGGAAGTCCTTGAGCTGCGAGGATTCGGACGCCGAACCTCCCAATTCCACGGCTTTCTATGTGAGCTGACAGGTGAAAATCTGCAACGAGAAGAAGATGAATTCTCGGAGGTAGGGGCACGGGAACCGGGCCCTGGAGCGCCTCTTCAGACAAGTCTCCCGATTCTTGCATTCGGAATCTCGGGGCCCCATCGCCGCACTATTTGGCGACAAGTTTGCGAGTTTGCGGGGCTGCATGCAAACCCTTGAAAGGTGCCAGGAGCAGCTCGACAGGGCTGTGTTCTGTATCTACCTGCGCTCGATGAAGGCAGGTCGCTGAAGACTTCCGACGTGCTCAGGTTGCCTTGATGCAAAAGATAGCTCCCGAGCTCCCCGCACCGTGTCAGTCTTGGTGCTACACCGTGGGCACCATCCTGGCCATGACCCGGAACGAGCGAGACGGCGACTCGCTGACTGCGGTGCGCCCAGCCGTCCAAATTCCAGCTCACGCTGCCAACGCCGGTGTGTGAACCGAGCTGAGCTGCAATTTAGCGGAAGCGCGACATGCCGAAGCACGGCAACGGCAGAGCGGAGCTTCAGGTCTACTGCTCCCAGCTGGGGCGAGAGAGCAAGGTGACTCTTTGCCGGGCGTCCGCGGAGGTGCTGCGCGAATAAGCATGCGCAGAGCACACGCAGCGGTGTCGGGACTCGTGCCGGAAGGAGGACAACGTGGAACTCTTCAGGAACGGTCGAGAACTCAGGAAGTCCCCTTCCGCAAGCCCATCCCACACCCAAGACGAATCTGAGAATGATCCGAAGGCCTTAAGGGCCGCAGGACAAGTAAAGTGTACCGGGCCCTCCGCACAGGTGTCGATGACGAGCTGTCCGCGCGGCATGCATTCTGGAAAGATTCCGAACGACTCTGAAGAAGTGGAAATCTTCGGTGTCGTTGCGAATCCTAGAAGATCGAGATGTCAGAAGATGTGCATGTCGACCTTTGTTTGCAGCTCCTTAGGTGCGCCCTTGTTGGAGGCCCCTAGGCCCTAGAAGGCAAGAGCCATGGCATCAGGCTGTCAGTCTGAGCCTTCCCATGCCCAGTCCTTCCCAACGTGGGTTGTGCGAGTCTCGTGTCCCCAGGTGCATAAAGGATGTGCCATGTGTCATGTGATCTTGTCTGGTCCGGCAGCTAGCTTGTCTCTCGCTCCCTCTCTCTCTCGCTCGCTCTCTCTCTCTCTCTCTCTCTCTCTCTCGCTCTCTCTCTCTCTCTTTTTCTCTTCCTTCCTGCCATCCCTCACTCGTTTTTGTCTAAATTTCTCCATCTCTCTCTCGCTCTCTCTGTCCCTCTGTCTCTCTGTCTCTCTGACTCGAACTCTCTATCTCGCGATCCCAAAATGCGGGGATGGCTCTGAAGTTGCGGTGCGTCTGAGGTGAAGGCCCGTCATTACGAGAAAACTTGGAATCCCGACATTCGATCTCCGAATGCCAGGCTCTTGCCTGACAACTGGGAGTGGCTCGGACGAGGCGCTGGGAACGCATTTTGTCTTCGTGCCTGCTAGCAGTAAGCCTGACAGATTCCAGACATGATCCTTCTCTACTTGTGTGGAATCCTCGGCTCCCAGCACAACCAGCACACCAGGTGCCATTCAGATCACGTGGAGATCGCGAGAGGACAAAGAGGAGGCCGAGAGACACAGCAGAGATACTTGCAAGGCGGATGGGACACAGCGCATCGGAGCTGTGAACAAATCTGCAAACGGTATCTTACATTTACATGGTATGTCACGGTATGTTCCAACGGGACTCCATGGTGGCGATCTTAGGGGTCTGCCAAAACACTTGTCATTGTGGATAAGACGCCTGGGCTGCATGTCCCACCCAGAGCAAGCCCAACCAAGCCCGTGTGTGTCGTAGCAGAACCGAAGGTTCAGAAGCTGCAGACCCTCTCCTGCATCCCGACGCTTGTCTCGGTGACGAAATGGGACGAGCGGGATGCTTCGGAAGCCACAGGAAATCCGTGGGCCCCTTTTTCTGGTCTGATCTCGGAGCCAAAGGTCTGCCCTTAAGGGGTGTTCATAGAGTTTCTGCACAATCCGAGGATCGTCATCATCCCAACGAACACTGCTGGCATCTGAGGGTTGTGCAACGTGCATGCAGCTGGATGACATTCTTGCCGACCCTGTCGATGTCCCGCCCTGACAAACGTCTCAGGTTCCCATCGACTATGCTCTGTTCGTCGTGTCGCCGTTCCATAAGAAGTGCGACTGACAGTCTTGGCTTGTGTGCAGGGACGGCCCACAACCTGCCTACGTTTAGTCTGAGCTTTCTCGAACGGGTTGCGCAGGTACTCGGAAGTGAAGGCGGACATCAAAGAGAGCGAGTTCGACGGGTTCACCTGGACAGAGGTTCGCCTGCCGCGAGAGCCGCCACAGAAAGCTGTCTTCCCTGGTTCCGTCCGGGATGGGTAGCTGAGCAGCCCAGACTCTTGCAAGCCCAGGCATAGAGAAATTCAATGCTGCCTAGAAACACAGTGCACAAGTTTCAACTGGCAAGCTAATCTCGACAATGCGGGACAGTCACCTGTGAGGGTAGGTACGCCGAAGTCAAGGGCAGCCAAGATGATGCTTGTTCAGCACAACGGGATGCAGACGTCGCAATTGCCAGGCAGTGAGCCGCTAAACTGCCATTCATTGCTGACAACTCTTGACTGGGGTTATACTGACACGAGCGGAACATGAAAGCAGCAAGAATGCCGGTGATGATGCACAGGGCAGAAAGCAGTGTCATCTGAGATCGAAGGCAGGCCGTCGCACCGTGGCGAGCCCCACGCTTCACCATGAAGCGCGCAGTAACTGGGTTGAATGCTTTAAGGGAGAGCGCTGGAAGAGCGCCCGCGCTTCTAACCGAAGAAGATAGCATGTGTCGCCCGTCGTTATTTTGAATGGTAGCGGGTGAGAATCCTGTTTACTGAAACATTCGGAAAGCAATTTCACAATTGTCAGAAAAGATTTCGAAGCTGAGACATCGTACTTGGAAGCCCAAAGTGGTTGGAGATGCGAGGAGCAATCTTCCAACTCGATCGATGCAAAGATTTGGAACCATTTTACTAGGCCAAAACGTGCAAGAATAGGCGGCAGCAGCAGCAGCAGCAGACTGAACGAGTTCAGCTTCCATGACCTCTGCGGACTTCGCCAAACCAATCCGTGCAGAACCTCAGTGTCGACTGACCTGCAGAGGTGCTGTTTCTGACCAACTCCGCAGCTGTAAGTCCAACATGCTGCTGAACAGGAGGACGAGGAGGGTGTGGATGTCGTGTACGACGAGGGCCAGGGAGCCCAGCCGCGAGCGGTGTCGTGCTTTTTTTTCTGGGCTGGGTGGAATGAGACTCCACTCCCGCCTTCGTTTGAGCAAGTGCAACACATTGGTGTTAGGAATTGCAGTGTAACTTGGCAGCCGACACGTCCTTCTTTCGGAACCTGTCATGGCTTCCGTACGCCAGAGTTGCGCAGGTATACAGTTGAAGACAGCACGACCGCCACAGACCTTTGAACCCTCCAAAACATCCAAGATGGGGAACAGCCGTGGACACTTCCCAGGAACTCCTCTGGATGGAGTTGCTGAGTGATGGAGGCCCGGGCTGCTGGAGAGAAATGTGGTATCCACCGGATAGAACAGAGGTGGTCTAGGGCTTTCGGTTTTTCGAGGCAGAAGGAGACGAGAGTAGGGGTGCTTGGCAGTCTTCAGAGCCTTCTGCCTCGACGGAGGCGCGGTCCTTCGCCAGAGGCCTTGCTTCCAGGGGAATTTGTTTGCCGATCCCAGAGCCCCTGAGCCGCTTAAAGCCTGCGGGAGTCCCGCGGGACGTTCCACGGCGGCTGTGCAGCCCTTTGACAGCCGAGCGCATTGTGCCCACTAGCACTGGTCGAGGGATCCCGCCTGGACGGAAATCGGAAAGTTGCAGAGCTCTCGGCTGGGAAAACCGCTAGCCCGCCGGTGCGCAGTGTGTCAGATGGGGTGGCACGAAGCTCTTCTTCTTAACAAGCTTGCTGTGCGACCTTGCCTGGCATGCCTGGCTCGATCTAGAAGGAAAGGTCGCCTAGGCAGTCCTGCGCCGCACCGGGTGCGCCGAGCCAGTATGGAGGCAGGGTCTCACGGTGGGACAGTGACGACGGTGGTCACGGCCCCCCCAATAAGGACATGATGCTGAGGACGAGGAGGGGGCAAGATCAGGAGGGCTGTAGTGCGATGACGTTGGTGTTTCCATGCCATCCCCGATCATGACGATGATGTCACAGGTGCATCCGGCTGCTTTTTTTTGTTGTAGTTGTTGCTGTTGTTGCTCGCCAATGCCTTTTGTCGTTGTCAAACCCACAGAGGCCGAAGGGAGCCCGTAAGACGCGAAAGCCACGCCCAGCCTGCTTGTGGATAGGGGCCGCCCTTCGCTGGGCTTCGCGAGACTTCCGGAGCATCCGGAGCAAATGGCGGCAAGAGTGCCTTCGGCTTCTCCTTCTTTGTCTCGAGGGCTTTGGCGGTGGTCATGGTGGTGGTGTCGATAGCAGATTGGGGATCCATGGCTTCAGGGCTTCGGTTTTGTCAGAGGATACTCAGCAGACTTGCTTGTTCAGAACTCGTCCTGATGTCGTTGGTGCTCACCCAAGCCTGTCTTGTTCGCTTGAAAGGGCAGGGTAGCGGACCTTGCGCTCAGGACTCAGGGGTGTCATCGATCAATGACCGAGAGCGCCTCCGTCCTTGGTACCGAGGCAGCTCACCCAGCACACCCAAGCAGATAGAGTCGCCGACGCAGCGATCAGTGGATGGAAATCCTGGGCGGAGGAGCATGGTAAATGCGCTGCCGGCTGCAGGGAGAGCGGGAGGGGTGTGTCATAAGTCTGGGGTGTGGATTTAGGGGGGGGGGGGGTCGAGAGTCGAAAGCAGGTGAACAGCGAGTTCGTAAAGGGGAAGCCTACCAAGCACTCGGCGACCCATGGTTGCAGAGGGAAGCTGGCGAAAGTCTTGCAGAGCTCTCAGCTCATGAACATCATGGCACTGGTGATTCTGATCGATGCCCTTGTCACTGTGGTAGACGTGGATGCCCGAGCCGCTGGCAATGAGCCGCCTCGGGCCATGATGGTACTTTCAGATATTTGCCTCTGCATGTATACAGCAGAGCTTCTGGCCATGATCTTCGTAGGGGGACTGCGGATTTTTCTGAACTGGATGCCTCTTCTGGATTTACTAATCGTCCTTTGCGGCTATGCGGAGATGGTGATGGCGAACTTCCTGACTCCTGAAGAGGCAACGCTTGTCTGCAAGTGCAGCTTTGTTGGGGCCGCAGCAATTTCCTGGAGCTGTTCCGACTTTTCCGCTTGCTGCGTCCTGCAGCGTTCGCAGGTTGGTGCGATGAGTCTCCTGCGTGCCCTTCGTTTGGTGCGCATCAGTAGGCTGATCCCTGTCCGCAGCAAGCAGTATCCCCACCCCTACCGGCCCCTACTCCCACTCCCGGCGGCGGAATTCGGTATTTCTGTAGTTGAATCGCTGCAGTAACTGAGGGGAAGCCCGCGAAGAAGTCGGAACTTGCGGTGGATACCTGGTGTCTAGGAGTCTAGGACATGATCTGAAGTTGTATCAGAATCATTTTGTCCGTTAAAGAGCCTGGCTCATAGCTGCCGGCAGCGAGTCGCCGAGAGCTTGACCCCTCCCGTTAAGCAACGGGAGGCCCGCCTTTCCAGACTCTTTGGACAAAGACGCTGCCACCCGCTCTCACGAAGCAGGCAGTAACAGTGTTTGCATGAGTGTTCCTGCGCCTGCAACGCGCCTTCAAGTTCCAACCCGATCTCACCTGCAGTCATGCCGGTCCGCTCGTCGTAGATACATGGGTAGCTCTCTAAATGAAGGTTCCTTTTTAGGGTCCTTTTTACTATATTGGGGACCTAAAAAGAGACCCTAATTCAGAAAACTACCCACATACCGGTCCGCGACGGTTGCTGGGGCTCGGCTTTGGAACAAGCCCAGAGGCAGGCTTGCCGGATCATATAGAACACGATTTATCATTAGTGAAACTCTACCTGACGGCTTGGCTTTGGCTTGCAACGAGAGCTCAGACAGAACTCCTTGCTTAGTTGTTTTTGTAGTCTTCAGCACCAAAACGGATAGCCCCGGAACTGACGTGTGCAGATATGCAGGATAGTCTTCCGGTAGACGTTTACTTCAACCTTCAAGATGCAATGTTCGGACCTTGTGCTGTCAACGAGCCTTCGACCCTCACCCCGACTCAACCATGAACTGAGCCTCAAACGTTGTGCCCTAGAGCTCTGGTCGTCCTTTTCACCGTGGTGATTCTCTCGGGTTGGCTCAGCATACATGCTTCCTTCAGACATAGGCACATAGGCTTTATTCTGCCCAAGGATGCGGCTACTGCGGAAGAGTCGCTCCTTGAAGGAGCTGCAGAAGCTGGCAACCATGATGACGACGTGTTTCAAGGCCAGCACCCCTTTGATGCTTTTCCAAGCATTAACTCGCTGTTATTGTGGACAACTGCATGACACGTCACTATCAGGGTAGAATAGAGCACCGCGAGCAGAGGAAGTGTGATGGAGAAAATGGCTGCAGCTTCGTTCTGAGGGGAAGGCTGCATTTCCATCACAACCAGACAAGACGATGGACAGAGCACTTCATGGTCCTGCCCACCCAGTGACCTCAACCCGAACATCCTCAGGTTCCATCTGCACCTTGTAAAGCCTTCCTGCACGGCACCTACTTAGCCAGCCCTGACAGCCACCTGCCAGTCTAGTGAAGGCATCTGCGTTTTTTTAGTCTTCGCAGCGTAGAGGGCAACAAATGAGATATAAGCAACATTCAGCTGGCTTCAGTTCGTGTTAAGGGGTCACCGTCGCATTGAGCCACTGGAACCAGGCGAGCACGACCTGAGACGTAAGTTCTTGGTAGTTCGCGCAAGCTGCCGCAAGCATGTCAAACTATTACAACACGGCTTCTTATCAAGGCGCAGACTGCAGAATGCCGACTTCGCCGGAATGTCGTGTGCATGATGCTTGTGTGTGTCGTCCATCTTCCAAGAATTCGACTAGGTGACTAGATGAGCTAGCCTTGAGACTCCAGACCCTCAGACCCTCATGCCGTCTTCGTCCCCATACTGGTAGTTACGGCACATTGATGCCCCTTGCGGTAGCGTGATGCCTCCTAGGCCCCAAGACTTCTGAGAATTGACTTGTCTGCTGGAGTCGGCGCATCGCATGTGAGGTTTTAGGTTCACTAGGTCCATGGATGGTTCAAGCACCGAGTTTGCCTTCATGTTTAGGGGGTGGGGTGTAGCGACAGCCCCGCAGGCCTTGCTTTGGTCGTTCCTCCTTTGCTTCGTGATCATGACCCTGTGGGCCATGTTGAAGCATCCGGTTACTTTTTCTTCTTTTCCGTGCCAGTAGCAGTCTGACACAGATTAGATTATGACTCCGCCTTCGTCACAAGGCCATGTTGATGGTTGAGATGCTACATCCACTGATAAAGGATAATCCTGACTTCGCCAGCTGCGGCGACCTTTGCTTGGAAGCGACCTCTTCGGTGATGCGTGCAAACCTGCTGCTGTTCCAGACCGTGATTGCTGGTGACAGCTGGGGTCTCATAGCGGTTCCGCTGATCTTGAAGCACCCGGAGACTGCAATCATTTTCGTTCTGTCACTCTTGACATTGGTTTTTGGAGTATTGCGCCTGGCAGCAGTTATCTTCTCACTTCTGTGGTTAGCCGTCGTTGTAAGTATTCAGCAGGCCCAAACCCCAACTTTGAGCACGTCTTCAGAGTGAGCAGCCGAGGAACTTGATCGTAGCTGTTGTCATCGACATGTTCGCTGAAGCCCGCGAAAGGGATATGGTGAACCTAGCAGAGGAGCTGGAATACGAACTGGAGGACGACAAAAAATACCTTCAAAAACTCTTCGATCGTCGCCTGCTTGAGTCGATTCCCTGTGATCAATTTTGTTTCCAGTCGGGTTTCGACCACACCTCAACATGGTATGTTCAGATCATGGCTTGTCAGTATTGCATGTCGCGAAGGGGAGCGAGCCTGTCAGACTTTGCATGTGCAAGTTGGAAGCGCAGCTTGCGGTAAGGCATGGACGCAAACAACGACGGCGAGCTCTGCTTCGAGGAGCAAGAGTGAACCGCCCAAAGATCCCGGCAGAAGCCTCGCAAAGGCTGCGCCGTAGTTGGGGATTGCTGCGGCTCTAACTAACAGGGCTCGATTCCTGTGACAGCAGGGATTTCGGGGATGATTCTGATGGCTTCGTTGACCATGGTGATAATGACCACCATGACGAAAGTAGGCCTAGGAACATTTTCAACATTCCGTGCTACTGCAGCTACATGTTGCTGGACCACATATAAACAAGCTTATTGTCATTAATTACTGTGATTATGGTTACTAGGACGACGACGACGACGACGACGACGACGACGACGACGACGACTACTACTACTACTACTACAGTTTTGGTTTTTGTTATTGTCATTCCGGCTGAGGGTCTTCCTCTAATGGATTCGGATCCTCCGGAAGCCGACTCGAGTTCAGGAGCTCATGGCCGGAGCAGGGCGCGACCCTGAGTTCCAGAGCCGCCTGAGGGTCATGGACATCGACCAGGTGGCTTCTTTTATCGGGGCTGACGCCGGGAGATCTCTAACGGTGTTGTCAGTAACAACATGGCTCCTTTCAGTACCATGCAGGCCACAGGGACATCGATTGCCTTGCATGGGGGTGATTCTGCGTTTAGCAAAGCATGCTGCACCCAGCACCTCGCCAACGCTACTGTAGTGTTACACTGTTTCAACATGATACCTTTGCCACTCATCTATGGCTGGATGTGTCAGTGACACCGATGCTTTAAGCCAGCCTTTTCGCCACGATCGCGAGGCAGATCTTCAGATGCTCTTCGACATGGTCGACCTGAATGGAGACGGAATGATCCAGCCGACAGATGCTTGGCCTTGATGGGGTTTGGGGCATCCAGATCCTGGGTGAAGCGTTTCGACAACCACAACTTGTTGTTCGCGCTCCCCGGTGAAAAGATTCCACCATGACGCCTCCGGATGAGGGACTTGGAGTTCTTGCTAGTACCATGCCCAGGTTTCCTGCAGAGTCTTGAAGCAGCTAAGAAGCTCCTGTCTAAGGAGTTCATTGGGCCCCTGAGCAGATGGGCGAGGGACTCGAAAACAGCGCCGAGACTCGGCTCACAGATGTTGGGCACCGGAATCCGGAATCTGAAACCATGGACTGAGCCACTGCAGCCGTGTGTAGCCCGTGGACCCTAGGATCCCTAAGCCCAACAGCGGGGTTGGCTGCCGTTCATTTTTGGTACCTTTAGCGGTTGGGTGAGAGAGATACAGCCCTGGATTGAACACGCAAAGGGGTTTGGGAGGAAAGGGTTTGGAATGTTTGTTGGATTGTTCAAGCCGGGTGCATGAAGCCCTGGTAATGTATAGGATCAGATTTGGGCCTGACTTTTTCCGAGGCTTTGGCTAGAACAGCTGCTTCAAGGGTCATTTCAGCAGAAGACTAGTTGAAGCTGTACAGTTGTTCAGACGTGATGCTGCTAATCTTGGATCCGAAAGCTCAAGCACGATGCTCCATGATGTTCTTTCAAAGTTGGAGGCGCTTCGTCAAATACAACCTCATGAAGATGCAGGCACAGCAAGAGGAACTGTTCTGCGTCCTGGCAATATAGCAAGGCGGTGTAGATGTGAGTCGTGTTCGTGATTAAGTCGGCCCCTCTTAGATTATATGGATGTGTCCAGTTCGCAACTTCGAGACTCGGGTTGTGCGGCCCGGCCTGAGACCTCTCCGACTTCTACCTGCGGAGTCTCTCGGAGCGCCTCGACACTCTGACCTCCAAGATGTGCCCAAACGACGAGGGGCATGATACACCACGAAGCGGCACCAGCGATGCAGAGGCGCGATCCGAGAGCTGAAAAGGAGCCGAGGTGCCCATAGGTGCCCTATGCTGTGCCCACGTTTCGGGGTCGGAGCTGAGGTTCACAGCATGGCCGAGTCTGAGGTCATCGAGCCGCCCGCTGCCTCCGCTCCCGTCTTCCCACCCTTCCCGCACCACCCCCGGATGCTTGGACTGAGACGCCCCAGTTGTGCAAACCGACTTCTACAGCGGCTAAGGACAGAATCTCCGACAGACCCCGCCGACCTTGGCAAGCAGCTTGCTAGTCTTCCCGTCGAGCACGTCGAGGAGTCCCTTTGGTTCAGCTGGAGTCGGTGAAAGGGGCGTGCGGCATGCTGAACGGCTTGATTTGGCTCTCGACTGCTGTCCGCATTTGTTTCGTTATGCGCATGTGGCTTGCCACGCTTGCTTGCCAGGAGGGTTTCCTGGAGGATCTCGTGCGTCAGTTAAGGGGCGAGCTCTCGCGCACGGAGCATCTCGCCGGCCAAGAAGTGCATAGCAGAGCGCCACAGTAGCAACAGTACGTAGACAGAGACACGGAGCGGAATGAGATTGGCGAGGCGCTACCTGCAAGCCACCATGGAGGAGTCCTTGAAGAAATCCGTCGCTAAAATTGAGGGGCTGTTGAAGGAGAATGCCCGGGTGAGCTCTCCCGATTTCCCGCCGCGTCCTCCCAGAAGCTCAGTGCCTCATGCTTTTGGACGAAAGTCCTTCACCCTCCACAACGAGAAACTTCATCTGCCTACCTTCGAAGGCAAAGAGTTCCCGCACAAGTTCGAGGCTCTTGGCAAGCCACCAGTCAAAGACTTGGTGGCTCAGCCAAAGCCGGGTGAGATGCTTTCGTAGTCCGGTAGCCTCGATGCCTTTTACGCCCTCTCGAACTCCCTGCTGCCGTGAGGGGCTACAGCCCGATGCGAGCAGTTGTGGACGGGTGGAGACGTCCGTTTCGAGGCTGTGATCGTGTACTTTGTCCTGGCACAGGCTGCACCAGAAACGCCGCGTGGCACGTTGTTTGAATTTCAGCAGCCAAGCAGCAAGCAGCAGCAGCAGCAGCAGCGTGACGCCGTGTGACGCCCTTTCGCAGGCCCACAAGTCCCCGGTATCCTCAGCTCCCGCATGCGGCCGTTTTGCTCGAAAGTTCGCTGCCTGCTCCTTGCTCTCTCCGGCTCCGAAACGTGCTGCTGGAAGGTGCCGTGGGGTGACTTGCTGGTTTTTGGGCCTTGGGGTTCAGGACGCACCTCGGGCCGTGGTTATGCCAAGCGTTAGCTGATACATGTTTCAAGTTAACTGCCCAAGCTGGCTTTGCCAGTGCTGTCGTCAAGAGCGAGCTCCAGTCATGGTGTAAAGCCGTATACGGAAAGCAGGGACAGGCCCTTTGCAATGAGGTTTGGCAGCAGACGGGGAGGACATTCGTATTCCCCACAGACTTGTTGAACGCGTCTTTCACGAAGCATACTGTGATGTTCCCGGTAGGCAGTCTGCACCTTGCAACCCTGTAGCCGCAATGTTTTCGCACAAATGTGACATGAAACATCGCCCTCAAAAGCAGGGCCGAGCACACGAGCAAAAATGATCTGAAGTGCACGTGATATGATGCCAAAGCTGAAAGGATGCTCGGTATACCCCCCCAATAAGCGTTGCGTAAAGTTTGTTGGCCTCGTGTATCGAGGAATGAGGTGCATGTGACATCCGCGTTATGCTGAGAGCTTGACTTGCTGCTGAAGTGATATAACCCCCAATAAGCAGCGGGGGAAGTTTCTTGTCGAGGACCTGGGTGCATGTGACATCAGTGCTATGCTGCTGAGAGCTTGATTGGCCACTGAAGTGCGAAGACCCCCAATAAGCAGTGCGTAAAGTTTCTTGGCTTCGTGTATCGAGGAATGAGGTGCATGTGGCATCCGTGTTATGCTGAGAGCATGACTTGCCACTGAAATGCTTCAAACCCCCAATTAGCAGTGCCTAAAGTTTCTTGGCTT